AACGAAACAACAATGCAGGTTATTCATAATACGGAAGATTAATATGAGGTCCTTTCGGGTTGTCTGTAGGAAAGGGGAAATAGGTCGAGAATGGACAGTCTGCTTTCATAGGGCAATGTTCCTAGACCTTTGACCATCTTTGTCGCTCGCCTCTGGACCCCCCTAAAGGGAGAACACATCTTGACAGCTATATACCATTTTGCAGGATGACCTGGTCATGCCTGTGACCCGCATCCTATCCAGTTAAGTACCAGCTACCCTCTGGAAATGTGTTAGTATTTGACGCAATGGTTATCAAATGGATGCTGATAAGCCTGCATATTATCGGGTGATGGATGCAAGCTCTCTGGTTCCGTAAATACTCGTCCCCAAGGAGTAAAGTTTTGAACGCCCAGTATATGTGATCTAAATTAGGTCTAGAAGTTAGGTTCATAATCACCCGAAGAAACTAGATCAGCAGTGGTACGACCTTGTAGAGCGTCTGTTGATTAATGAAAGGAAGGATGTTTGTGATGCGCTCTATCTCCTATAAATAATGTAGTTTACATTTCAAGTTAGCGCAGAGATAAATTCAAGCTTACCGCATCAGTGCCTGTTGCCGGCAGCATTCAGTGGATATTCAAAGATCAGTGGTTGGGACTTCGATTTCGAACGGTACCCTAGGGTTTTAAGTCATAGGCTGTAATAACTTCATCCAGTTAATATAACAAGGCCTTTATGTAAATGGAGTCGTAGGAATTCTAATGATTTTGGCAGTCAGATATGATATAAGTGTAGTCCAATTTTAACGCAGATGCCCATTTTACGATTGAAAAACAGTTTTGGCAAACAATTGTTGCCGGTCGTTTAGCGTCAGGCCGATACACAGACATGTACTGCGCTCATATGATTCCCATGGTGTTGGTGGGTGTGCCCTACTCACCCCTCCGTACCTCGCCAACGTCCTCAACACACTGACTCCGGCATACACGACACGAGGGAACGAACGGATGACAGAGCCTCCCCCCACCACGAGAACCATATAAGCACTGCGCATAACTGTCTGCCTCATTGTCAATGCATCCGCCTGACGATGAATGACAGAAAACAATTGTTTGGCTAATCTCCGGCCACATGACCAGGTGCATTTGTGTAGAATGCGGCTACAAGAGCACGAACAGCAACATCCTCATAACCACCACCCACGTCGTTGGCCATGGTCGAATTTGAACAACGTAAAGATAACGTGGTTTGCGCCGCCGCTGACTCATGTTGCCTTCACACGTCCTGTCTACCCGCGCCTGACAAGTTCCGACCCCACACGTGACTCGATTAGTCGCAAACAGGCGTACTTCCCGTTCGGACAAACAGAGAACACAGCTGCCAACATGACCTGCCTGGCTTGAATGTCGGTGGTTGAGTTGCTAGTATTCAACACTGCCTCAGTAATCTGTGTTCTGATGGCCTTCCTATTTCGATGATCTAACAAACGCGCCTGCAGTTCACATGGAATGCAACCATGGTTAACTGTAGACCACAACGACTGCCTCTGGCTTTCACTGCGAAAGTCTACACATTCCAGAAAACAGTGGTCCAGGCCGCCCTCAATAAGGGCGAATTCCTAGGCCCTGCGAGCCTGCCTGGCAGGTGTAACAAACCAAAAATTCCATGCGGTTGTTTGGATGTTCGAAGGTCACTTCTCAGGCAGAGCCCGAATGAGAATAGTACAGTTGCTCTTCGGCGAAAATGACCAATTCTCCTCCCTTCCCTCCCTGATGTTACCGCACTATCTCGCATGTACCATACCGCTAGTATCTGCAGTTGGCAACATCACTGTAATCCCCCACCGTTATCTAAGTGATATTTCGTGACCACCACTCATTCCAAACGGGGTTTTTGCGCATGAGCTTAGTAAGCCCTCGCATCGAAATATTCCCCATTACTTTACTATAACAGATCTTATGCGTTATTATCAGTTTTCCCTCCACGTCTCCATAGGTATCTGCTGTACTATTTAACAATTCTGTCCAGTGTTACTGTAGATATGTACATATCACCTACCTCTTCGTGTGTGTCTGTTAATCTCAACGTCTTCGGCCGCTGCCCTGGTGAGAGTATCCTCTGGAAGACCTCTTCTGCGTAAAATTCCTCCTAGGGAACACCCAGAACTGACATCTGCTACACGACTATTCAGAACAAGACTACCATGAACGCACTTGCGAGACAAGCCAGCGTGAACGCTCGGAGGGGACTTCAGACTATCAGTTCCCAATCTTGACAAATCCCCCACAACGGAGAGGCCGTGCTGGATTTTAGACCAGAGCAAGGGATTAACAAAGCCGGTTCGTGTTAGGAAGAGGCACATGAAGATCCCAGTGGGAAAATCGCCCTATTCACTGTGTTAGCGGCCAGAGAGGAACAAACAGTTTAAGATGGATCAGAGGGCGGGGGGCGGAGGGAGGGAATAGATAAGGCATGTAAAGCGACAGCCACGGGTTGACGTGAGTCAAAAGTAAACACTTTATTTACAAATGTTCGCGATCGCGCGCCCATGCGTAAAAAAAGAAAAATTGACGCAAAACGCGAAGCTGGAAAACTGAGAATTCGAGAGAGAGGGAGAGAGAGTGAGGCAACATAAATATATAGAGGAAGAAAATAGCAATTGCATTTAAATTCTCTCGCGCACTGTAGTGGTGTGTTGTACAAGATAAGATGCATCTTGCCCCCTCCCCTCTGTGAGAGAGGCAGAAAAAGCGAGCATTTGAGATGAGCGCAGGCTGTCCTCCGCGCTCAGTTGTCACGCATCTGGGCGTTCTTGATGAGTGCCAGACGCCGTTTGATCTCTGCCAGTTCGTTCTGCGACATGCCTGGCTGCCGTGCGGACTCCGCCTGCGATTCCGTCTTCTCGGATTCCTCAGTAGGTGGCTGAACAATGCCCTGCAGCAAAGCAGAAGAAACAGGTTGGTAATAAGGAAGAGCCGAAAACAA